TTAGTTTTCTGTTTTCTGTTATTTTGCATGTATTCATGTGTTTTGTCGGACTGTCCGGTCCTACCTGAGTGTCTGACGGGTATCTGCTCCCGGTGACGGTGGTTTTGTCCATCAGCGTCGAGCAGGCGACCGATTCATCGAAGCTGCACAGATGAACCACCAGCAGCTCCGTGGAACTAAACACACATAAAAACACATTAATGCCTCTGAATGGTCTTCATTTACTGGTAAAGCCTGAACATGAACTCAGGAATCAGATCTGATGACTGTAGACTTTACAGGAGCTGAATAAACTGGACAACATTCAGTAAAACCAACTCTGATCCTTTAACGCTGACGTTACCTCTGCTGTCAGTTATAAACATGAAAAGACGTTTCTGAGCTGAATTAATCGACTGTTCTGTGAGATAAAGTCGTTTTGTTTCAGTCTCCTGTCAGACGATTCCACCTGAAACCATCTCTGTCTGATAATTACAGCATCAAACATGGATAATTAATAATGAAGTGAAGTGAGACGTGCTGCTTGTGTGGAGATTCGTCTCCGTCTGGGTTCTTACTTCATGATCAGAGTCACTCTCATGTTGTCTGGAACGAACTGGCTGACCGGGACTCTGAAGACGAACCTGCCGGGCCTGAACACGAAGCACAGCGTTGAGTTTATGGAGTCATTCATCCATAGTTCTGACCCGATGGTGGTGGACAACTCACCCACACTCGTCCCTCAGACAGTAGCGGCGGTCGATCAGCTGCTGGCTCTCTTTGATCCGGAACGACTCGATGGTCGTGTTCGTCCCTGATAAAGATTCAACGACGACTCGGTTAATAAAACGACACCGAACCTGATGTTTGTGTCGTCGAGTTCATGACCAGACTGAAGGTTCTGCTGCTGGTCGATAGACGACACACCAGAGACGGATGTGTGTGTTGGATTAAAAAGGCTTTAAAATGTGTTTCTAGAATCACCACAGTGACGCCATGTTTCAGAAAAACAGAATGTTTGGATGAATCGTTCAGTTCTGTCTGAAAAACGATCAAATGTGACTTTAAAGTCTTTATATCTCAATAAAATCTCTTTATTCTGCTTGTTTGGTTCAATAATTC